GGTAGCGTGAAAAGGAGGGGCAGAATATGTAGCAAATGGAGCCAACTCACCTGAAGATGGTCGCTATCGTCGGCGACTTGGGTCTCCCCAAACTGCTGCTTGCGCTTCCCGAGCGATCCTTTGTTCCTCCACGCAATTGCTTCCGCGGGTTTGTTGAGCTCTTTCTGCGCAGTTCTGGAGATCTTTGTCGTTCGCGGCATTTCCACGGGTGAATGCCTGTGCCGAAAGGTTGACTACATGCCCAAAGCACCTTAGCCGACGACGTCCCCCATTGTACTTAGCTAGGTAGCTAGGCTTCCAGGTTGCATAGTTCAAAGCTTCACTCTATGTACATACATGTTCGGATTCCGTGATTCCGTACTTTGTATGCAATCTGCGGAGCGTCGGGACTCGAGTATGTGCTCCGTACCCCCTTTGCCATCCCATCTCATCCAAGGTCATCCAGGCTGACTTACATAGGTAGCTAGCTAAGCTTCAGGCTATGCACATAGGTCCAAAGCTTCAACGTGTGTACTCCGTATGTCTGTACTTTTGCATGCAATCAACGGAAGCGTCGGAGTAATCCCGACATGTCATCCCATCTCATCCAGTTCGCTTAATCCAACTTCATCCATTGATTACTCAACACTTGGGTATAAATACCATGTCACGCACCTTCGTGCACACATATGTACGGAGTAGTAGGCATGTACCAAGACACATACAACGAGTCGTGTCACTCGAAACGAACGCAGGACGATCATGACTTCAAGCACACACGTGACGTGACAGTAGGTAAACACAAGGGAGTAACCCATGTCGTGAAGAGAAAAGGCATTGCTAGCCGAGCAGAGCCAACTCGTTTAATTAATTTTGTTCCTTGTTCCGTGCAGCCCAGAATCCACATGGTGACCCACCAATCAACCACAATCGCATGATGCACCGCAATAGGCTATAACCGGGGCTCCGCACAATCCCCCACTGACCAGTGACAGCCCCATCAGTCCTATCCAATGAAATACGAGTCCCCATCCACCGCAAAGCAGGCAAAGGTCCCACACCACACAATTTCTGCTGCCAACAAGCAAAAGCAAGCAAAATTCTTCAATTGAGTTTATAAGCTGCAATATGAGCTGGCTCTGCACAAGACGGTTCCCCGTCAATCACCGGTCTGCGAACTCCTCGGGCGCTTGCCCGGTTAGCTCAATCGGTAGAGCGTGAGACTCTTACGCCAAGTGCAGAGATCACATCTCAAGGTTGCGGGTTCGACCCCCGCATCGGGCTTTTCCTATGTAATATCACGCAGTGCTCGGGCATGATGGGTGAAACATCTTTTTGTCCTTGTTGATCTTGATTTCATGTGATATGTTCCTTTTTGCCTTTGCTTGATGTGTTGTTGATGCTGTTACCATGTGTTCTTGACTTCTTTGACACTTTGTATGGAGTTTTACAGTCCTGGTATGGGAGAATGGGACGCCTCTTTTCTCCTACGTACTCTCTTCTCAACAATACTGGCTGGCACCCTTCACCTTCTTTCGGTTCAAAGTCATGGTTCATAAAACGTAATTCTCGTACCTCAGAATTCTTATTCCCATTTCCTGCCCGCGTCGTATGCCCTCACTTGGAGTCGCTCTTTCTTACACAGCAGACACGGTTTCCATTTCGAGACGATTAACCCCGTTGCGCAAATACACGGTGCAGCCTCATCGTTTAACTACGGAGTAGTCAAACTCAAGTTTATACACACACACTGATGTGCCCCTACAAAAGTCATATATCTTGCGACATAGGCCATCCCCCATACTGCATGTAGCTCCCTCGTCGTCCTCGGGCCGGGTGTGCAAACATACGTGAGCATTAGTTCCCGACGGGTCTCGCCGTGGAGAGTGACGTAGGTATATGTGCTTTAGCTAAGAGAGCAAACAAGGCGGTCCGACGAGGCTGCAGGGCCCAGCTGAGCAGGGATCATGTGCTTTCTCATGAGGCAGAAGGCACAGGTAGGCATGTATCTAGGTATATATGTACCTATACAGAGTACGGAGTAGGTACTGGTGTGCAGCTGGCAGATGGAATGATTGGGCTGTGCAGTCGTGTAATTAGACCCTGCGTCTGCGCGAGTCGATTGCGTCATGTCGACGTGTTGTAACGTGTACTCCGTTCCGTATACATATATAGATGTGTATCACGCGGAAGCTGTCCCCTGCGTGGTACTATATACTGGGAAAGTAGACTTACCACCGCGCACTGGCATTGCCCACATAATCGTGCCAAACTTTCTTTAATAAGTGAGACCTCTATAGCCGGGATGCCGTCCAAAAATACCTTCACATGAGCAGAAATTGCTGGCCACGATACATAGAGGTCTCACTCAAGGAAGTTTGGCACGATTATGTGGAGATTATGTGTGCCAAGTCAGTGCGCGATGGTCATTGAAGGTCTACGTTCCCAGTGCACTCCGTGTTTTGTAGTGCGTACGGTACGGTTCGCGCCGAGGAAAGGAACCATCAATCGAGATACAAGTACTCCGTACATGCATGCACACCTCCTACATGCCTATTGCTTACACAGGAACCCCAATCTCACCTGCATCTGTCAATGAGAATTCAACTCTTCCAGGACCTCCCTGCTACACAGTCTTCTCTTGTGTCACAATTGAGAACCATCCCGTCTAGGTATCTACATGTAGTTGGACTCTGTTCCACCCCCCGTGACGATGATAACTAGTTACCCTACGCTGTGCCAGCCTGAACGTCCCGCCACCCTGGTTCTCGGCACGAACGAACACACTTTCTCCAGAAACCCTGTCGAGCTGTCGCAGACAAGGACGACTTAATGCTTTTGTATGGAATGCCCGTATAGGCAGGTCGGTCCCGTGCCAGCGCATTGCCACCCCGAATCGAGTCTGTGTTACTGTATCCCGATTCCCAAGGACGGGAACTTGCACCCAAATGCACACCATCAGACCCGCTTCTTGGCCTCCACCGTCACGGTCTCCACCCCTGTCATCCCCTTTCTCAGGAACCCCCTCCCTCCTACCTGCTAACCTCAATTCCGTACATAGGTACCTAAGTTCCCAACAACCGCGAACCATCACCATCCAAATTCGCTACCGTCCCAAACCTTTCCAGCCATCTCCCAACGCGGACACAGGAACTTCAAGCAAAAGAAGAAAAGAAGAGAAACAGTAAAGAACCACACACACACACACAAACACAAACACCGCATCATGCCCTCCTCAGACCCCTCCCCCCCCCTCATCAACTACATCCTCAGCTTCCTCCTCGTAGGCCTCGCCTGGGGCCTCACCACGCCCTTTATCCGCCGCGCCGCACGCCAACATCAGCCGCTGCCGCATCCTGTCCTCGAGACGCCCGCTATCAAGAGTAATTGGCTCCGGAGTAGACTCTACGGGGCGTGGTTCGCGGTGGGGGACCTGCTACGTAATCCGCGGTATGCGGTACCGTTGGTGGTGAATCTGACGGGGAGTGTGTGGTTTTTCTTGCTAATTGGGAAGGCTGGTATGTTTTTGTTTTCTCCCCCGACTTGGTCCCTCTTTTTGTGTGTTTTGCTACTTCTTCTTGTTTTCTTGTTGCTTGTTTTCTTTCTTTCGTTCACGGGGCTTTACTTTTTCTTTTTTGGGGGGGGGGGGGGGGGGGGGGGGGGGGG